TGACAAGGGATTTGGGATTGTCACCGTGAACAAAATGGATCACACGGGCAAAAGCCCCCTTTAATGACAGACACTCATAGCTATCAACTGATCCCAGCGGGAACCTTAAGAAAAATACCGGGGAATATGAGGACTTTGCGGAGTGCAAAACGAATTTATTCTTCCGAGGACAACTGTATTGCTGCGGACTAAAGACTAAAATGTTGTATTTTTCACCGAATAGGGTACACAATTTTCTGAAAGAATAAAAGGCCGAAGTACTCAAGGTTAAAATGTGGTGTTATCAGTTTAAGTGGGCTCACCGGTTACATATTTTGACCTACATTCCATCAGGACAACGGTCGTAGACCCATGAGATAAATATGAATCCTCAGATTAAGCTTGTGAGGAACAAGAGGTTTGCAAAATCCTGAACATTTGTCTTATGTTAATCTTTGCATTCAATTCGGAATACATAATAAATTACAGAAAAGTTGCACCATCGAGATCCTCAGTATCAGGATTTGTAACAGAATTAGCCCTGCAGAAACAAGAGCGGAGTGTACTGCCGGCAGTCAGTTTCAAAATATGCACTCATTAGGATAATGAAACGTTTGTCATTATCTAGGAGAATGAACTGCAGCCGAAAAATACTTTTGGCTCTCAGCAAAAGCATTGTGGAACACAGGATTGCCATTCTTGTTTACTCTCATCAAAGCTCGCACACGGAAAACGAACATACATAAGGAACATGCTTGATTAACACAGAAACCCCACCAAAAAGCTGCATGCGAACGGTACCTAAGCACATTGAAGCACACTGAAAACTCATTTAATATAAGTCTACTTGTAAACAACGCTTTACAGCTTTCCAGAGGAATACTTACCTTAGAATTGTATCAGGAATTCTCTCAAAAGCCGACCGCTGTGATTACGTGACAAGTGGACAGAATAATTACACAAACTTCATCATAACTTTTTTTTGGAGCGACTACAGGACTTGTCCCATAGCATGGAAACAATACAGGTGAAGAAATTATCAAAGTGCTGCGCAAAGCAAAGTTAAAATCAAAGAGAAGGTCAAATATCAGGTATTGTAGGAATAAATATGGAAGGGTTTCCGCGGTAATGGCTCAAAAGAATTCCATAAAATTTTTATCATTCCGTAAAAACCAACACTAATGGTTTTTAGGGTGTAAATTGCCAAAGTCGTTTGGCTTTACAAGAATACCTAACCTGTTCCCAAGTTCTGAAGTAGGAGATTTATCGAAAAACACTTTCTGATAGTATCTGTTCTGTGCATTATTGCATTTTGTCCCATGGAAAATTCATTTCTGTGGCCCTACTGTAACATATCCAGGATAAAATTGACGGAAACTCGGGGACGGCGCCTACCTGATAAGCCCGAAGATGGCTGAAACCGGCCGTGGGCTGTCGAGGAATTTTCAGCAACCTTATGAGTAGTGTATTATGTCGATATCCAGGTTACTTTCCATTCAGCACAGAATTCTATCTGTCTGCGGCGCACAGAAAAACGGACCGTGATTGACCCCTATTAAGCTTACCAGGTGTGAATCGTTCGATACTGACACGAAGAATCAATGAGGGTATCATCATTTTACCTTGGATTGCTGACCCGGGATCCCACTAAAATGATGTTAAATGATGTCATCAGACAGTAGGGAGTCAGGCAAAACTTTCTCAGGTAAAAGTGAATTCCTCCGCACATAAGGCTTCCGCTAAATTGTCGCACTTTTCTTTGATTCCCTTTGATTCTTTGATTTTCACCTATACTGATGGAAGACGTATTGTCAGCTTTCCGCCTAAACCTACTTCGCCAAACAGTCAATAAATGATGGACCACCAAAAGGTAAAAATAAGTGAAACTCATAGGTCTCTTTGGGTTTGTACTCAGAAGAAATATTTACAGTACTGAACGTTCAGAAGCCATGGTTCATGGTTATTTTGCATAAACTTCACTACTGTTTCTCCTGAGAAAGCTTTACAGTGGTACATTTACCAAAACGTCATGCTCATGTCCAATTTAACTACAACTGCGCATTCGGAATTTAGTTTAACATTTCAGGATAACCATACATAACAATAAGTTTGGAATCGATTGTGCGTTAATGAAAACGGAATTTGATGCGGTTATCCGTTTTTTTCCACGATATGCCCAGACATGACAAGCATAAACAGCGTAGTGTTGTTTAGTGTTTTTCTCACCACTCAGAATTTGCAGAACAATCACTAGCTAGATAATCACAATAATAACATTTCCGTGCCTATTGAGGTTGACAATAGATGAGCGTCATTTTTCGCAATGCAATTAAAATTCGCACACCTCTGCCAACGGTCCGAAAACGCTTGTTATTATGATTTTGTTGGTGTAATTTTAGGCTTTAATTACTCACGCATATCGAAGCGTTGGTTCATTTCTATGGGTTTCATGCTAATTTGTCTAGAGCTTCCTACCATTCGTGGTCGATAAATTTTTACGCTCAAAATAGATTTTTAGTGCAAGTAAACCCACAAGTTTTGTACCAGATTAAGATATTCGCACTGTTCTTTCTCAGGAGCTACTTTTGTGCTCGTACAGATAAGCGTTGGACTCAAATTCGAAACCGCAAAATCTTTGCGCACTCCGAGAATTCCTGCATCACAACTGAACTTCTAACTACATCTGATAGAAAGATCTTCATTCTCCTTATCTAATCAATACATTTTACGGTAGTCAGTTCATTTTTTGCTCATAAATCAGCGAATAAACTTGCAGTGTGGTGTCGTCAGAACAGCCAAACACCACAGCGTCTCTTCTGTCACAAAACCATCCGACAATAAGCAACTGAGCTTACTGTGAGCTGATCATGAGAGTATTCAGCGTCATTACTGTGATCTGCTCATACCCGTACGAGTGCGCTTGTGACGTTTCAAACCCAACACCAGTGTTTTTAGCCATATGGTAGACGGTCCCGGTCGTGTCGCCCACATTGTGATCATGCTCAGTCGGAAGCACTACTCGTCTTCATAACTTTTGACATTTGCTAAAAGCTATCCTCCTAAGGCAGGTGGAATCCGTCTTTGGAAGTGAAGTTAAGGTTGTCATGCTTTAAATAGCCTTAGGCATCGAATAACATTTGACTGTTGCTGAAACACCACCCGAAAAGCCATTGGAGTTAATTCTTTCTATTTCCTTATGTGATGCGAACGATGAGCACAGGCGTCTGAACTGTGAAGACTGAGCATCTATCCCGGTTGACCATGTGCTGCACCCTTAATCCGGGGAATCTCGCTCACCTTTAGCTGTGGATCTTTTTGAAGCAACTTGTGTTGCCTAAACTCAAAATGTGATCACTGGATGCTAATAAAAATGGATCACACAAACGTTTTGAGTGTGAAATACTAATGGCTGAAACCGTGCGTATCGTAAATGCCAAATACCATGAAAGTTCGATATTAGCGATAGGCTTAAGTAACTCAATCTCAATCTCCTATTTACAATGTTTATTTTCGACTCTTCTTGAAAAAAATTAGTTTGCAAGTAGGTATGTCCCACCAGTCACCTATAATTTGCATGAGATTGATGGAAAAAGGGGGACTACACCCGTGTGCTGGGGCCCATGAAGGGAAACCTTTCTTGGACTGTCCAAGACTTTTCAGCATTATGTGTAGCACGTTCCGTCAATTAGATGAAATTTCACATCCATTTGCGATGCAAATTGGTGTGTAAAAAGCACCACACATGATAAGTTGAAGTGGATCGAAATTCTGTAAAGCAGCACACTTGGTGGCATGCGCAGAATAGCAAACATTCAGAGTTGGTTGTATTTGACATAATACACTTAGTCTTGTCCCATGTGTCGTTCCCCGAGACGTTTTATTCTGGGATGGAATTATGCTACTAGGAACTAGGTCAAAGCTGGCCATACCATTATGATAGGAAAAATGTCGCACCATTAGATAGCTTACGCTTCAAGTTTTACAACCATTTGCTTCGGCAAATAGATAAAATCGTCCGTCCGATTCGTGTCGTCTTCGATAACAAGCGTGCGTTCTTGTCGCTCTAGTGGCCAGTTAGGGAAATCAGAAATGACTGGTTTCATCTGGCAGGTGGTTTTTTGTGGAAGGAGACAAACTGTTAAATCATGTTCGAGGGACCGATTGGGAGTGGTAGCTGAGCAGTGTTTTCCCAAGGATGAGACATATGTTATCAGAGTGCAATGTGGTTTGAACTTAGGGGGCCTGATTTTGTATTCAAGTGCTTAGATATTTCTCACTTGGTTAAAACAGTATAATTTTACTTGAGGAACAGCACACTTTAATGCCTACTCTCCACGGATGTGGCCGGACCTTATTACGTAGTACCAGTGGTTTTATCGTTACTTCACACTTAGTGCTCTTTGAAATTTGGAACGGATAGCCTCAGAGAAGACCATGAATTAGGGTAAAAATGTTGTTTTAAACGACTTTATGTGGTCTCAATGTATGAGGTATATATCGGTCTGATGTCAGTACCATACCACTCAAAACCACACTTGATACCGGATTTCAAAAAAGAATATTGCCTGAATATTCCTTTTCGTTCTCTTAGGAGGACACATTGCTTTTCGGCATTTTTTCAGTAGTTTCCGGAGTAGTCCTTCAATAGACACAAGTTCCCGGTTAATTCACATGGACTCAGACCGTTGTGTTATTTGATGACGACAAGTCTACCTTAGAGGTAATCTCACCCGATGAACCAATGCGTATGATGTTTTTCTGTCCAACGTTATGATTGCTTACTTTCATTTAAGCAAAAAACATGTACTTTGCTATTCGTCGTGGTTTTTTGCTGCAGTTGAATTAGATAGGCCGTGGTTCCTATTCGGTGGATGTCGGTAGTTCATTAAATCACGTTCGATCCAACCACTGGAAACTGCAATGTGAGAACATTGCAGATGCCCCATTTCCTCCAAAGATTTTTTGGAAACATGACTGATTGCAGGATTGAAATTAACTGCATCTGTCTGTTTTCTTTGTAGGAAGACGCACGCCTCTTGTTTGCATCCGTTTCCACAATAGAATCGGGAATCATGCCACCAGAAGTTCATCAAGCGATTGCGAGATTGTGGCAAGATAGTGGTGTTCGGTCGTGTTTCAAGCGTTCCAGAGAATATCAGCTCAATGATTCTGCAGCGTAGTAAGTGCTAAACCTTGTGGCGTGGGATGTGTTATCGGGAAGATATCAGCATATTTCTGTCAGTTTCGAATATGGTTGAAGCGGCTGTTGCCTTTAAGGTTAAAATAATATTGTCCCATCCTGCAGCGGGAAGAGGTCCAGGCTAGCTAGGTTGTTATAGCATGGCTGTTGGCGCATCAATTCCCGATGTTTAGACTGGAAGCATCTAGACACTTCCATACCTCTACGGTTCCCAAGGAGGCTAGCTGTATTCTGGGAGGTCTCAACGTCTGATAGACCAAAAATGATAGACTTACACCACTCCGCACGTCTTGAGTATGCAGCTTTCTGAAACAACTCGACCATTGAAGTAAACCACTGATAGCATACATAGAGCAGGTTATCCAAAGAAATAAAACATAGTGATGGACACACTTATACCGACAGTCGGGTTAACAAATTAACCTGAGATTTTATGAGATAGAGATCACAAACTTTTCAAACGAAGATAGAAGTGATGTTGCTACTTTGAATTGGGCCAACTTAACCTGAATTAAAATACCTGAAAACTCAGTAGACACTGTAGTACTCCAGAAGCAGTCCTTCGCAAGTTCAGCGGTGCTATAGAAACGTTATCTTGCTGAAACACGCATTTTCCGATCAATTCTCGGAAACTACTCACAAGGTTGCTGAAAACTCTTCGACAGCCCACGACCGGTTTCACCCTCCTTGGAGCTCATCAGGTAGGCGCAGGTAGGAGGGCAACTGACTCTTGAAACATTCATCAGTTTCATGGGTTGATCGAGTTTGGTTCTATTATAACCCCGTTATTGTTGTGAAAGGCTAGAGCCTCAGCTGCGCACCTAATCTTTGCTGCGTACGATCTTTAAGCTTTAGAAATGAAATTTTAGCGCAAAAGCGTGGAATCAGGATATCTGTGCATGATGTAAACACCTAATTGTTTCAGGTATCATCCCTCAATAGTTCTCACTTGAGCGTAAGGGATTCCAGATGCTCAAATGTCTCGGGTAAATGCCCCGGACATCTACCGTCACCACATAATCTTCAGACAACCGGAACCCAGAGAAAAGTTGTCATAGCCAACTGCCGACTTGTACAGTTGCCTTTTATCCGTTACCCTGCATTTCTACAAGTTCAAGCACCTTGTTAGTGTAGCACATTTAAGGGGCCAAACTAGGAGAAAATATTTCTTCATAATGGTCGTCTAGTTCCAATTTTAGCAAGACCTGTCGTTGAATCACATATAGGATTTGATTTGCCCCACATCAGACACAAGCAGCCAACCCTTTTTTCAAACGTCCTATGAGCTCTACTACATACTGGGCATTTTTATTTGTTTATGCATTGACCAAAAACCAACTCTTCATTCATTAGAAATATCTTAAACTTCTGTGCATTATTCATCGAGACAAGCTTATCTACTCGCAGCCCCTTCGAAAGTGCACACTGCCATTTACATACAAATGAAGTTACTTTTCACCCTGTCTGACTACAAAACCCATACGGTTTTTCTTGTTAGTTTTTCCGATACACTCAATTTTATCGTACTGAGTTTCATCTGGCTTCAAAATTCGATAGTATGTCTAAGTAACATGAGGGCAAATTTAAAAACACACCTCAAGCCTAAAACTAATAGACACCTTGTTACACTCATCCGATGAGTTCCAGCTGGAGGGGAACATGTCGCACATCGCTCTTTCAGAACCGCCCACATGTACCTTATAATTAGCATTTGTGAAACATTTAAACCCACCGAATGATAATTATCGGTTCTGCCAGAAGGTTCGTTCAATGTTGGGGGTCGTACCGAAAGAGCATTTAAAAGGTACTCTTTTGTGATATTTCGAATAAAACTGCTTTCTAGTTGACAGGACGCTGCCTACTGAGACTTGAGTATTGTCCACAGAGCCACGAGAGTACACAGCTCCAAAGGTTGATTACGAGCCTATGAATTTCAAGCAATTCGTTCCGTTCAAAAGCATGCTTGTGGTACATTGTGGCAACTGAATCCTGAAGGCTTCCGAAAACTGGCGTGTTGGAAAAGTTGACTGATAGCAGTGCACTATTCTACTTTATTCTAAACTATTCTATCCTATATTCAACTATGTTCTATATTCTAACAGCTAAAAGGCTGCGTATTTCGTCATTAAAAATGCTGCCAGGTTAGATGCAGTCGTACCATCGGAATCCAGAATGTATGGAAGACCATGCCGTACAGTTTGACGTGGGACAGCTTCGTCATCACTGCCACTAGCCAGGTTGGATTGTAGTCACTGTAGCAACAGGCGAGAGCTCTTGGTGTTCGCAATCATCGGGGTACCTGCAGGACTGATTATTTTCTATTCAGGTCCCTACCGATTTGATATCTGTGATTGCCTGCTCTTCGGTTATTTCAAAGAACCTTGTGCATTGGTACCAAACGAATGTGCATGCAGTGAACGATGACTTGAGTCCTACATTTCACCTATTCGTTTTCCATTTTTCTGTCGGTGATCGATACAAGACATCTCTCGGGAAAGCTCATGGACAGAGCATAGTCATTATGTATATCAGCAGTTCATTAAGTTTATGCATTGAGATAAATTTTGCGCTCTCCAGCTGTCGAATCGCGGCCTCAAAACTTCATTTTACACTGATTGAACGGAGGGACCATTTATTAGTCCGCAATTCGCGCGTGTACTATACTGGAAAATAAATCTTATGGAAATTCCTTGGGGGTACGCATTGAAAACGCACCTACTTGGGGAAATGGTGACACCCAATGCCATAAAAATCCAAAAGTCCCCTAAACTTTGATATCAAGGCGAATGGATCTGAGATGATAAAAACGAACAAATCCATCGCACATAACCATTATTTGGTCAAAAATTCAACGCAACTTCTGAAAAAGCGAATGCCACATATATCAATCGCAGTTAGTGAGCACTTAAAACCGTTGAAGCCTCATGCATGGCTACGTATAACAGACCTGGCAAATATAGGACTAATTTCTTTACTTTTGATGGAAAATGATAAGAAACATAGACTTGTTCACCTTGGCCATTTAAACTGCAGTGAGCAGCGGATAGATATTAAACAGAGACACAGGTTGTCGAATGGTGGTGGGATTGTCTGATGAAAAGCATCAAGTTACAGCGCATTCACTTTTCACGAATTTGGTGTTTTTGGCACGCCACGGAAGCAAAGAACAATCGTGGTTTGAACTGCTCAGTGTTGTACTAAGTTTGTGTGTCCCAAACGGGCTTCAGAAGTTAACATATCTTGTCCTCGTATCGTATGTACTGACTAATAGGACGGATTTCACAGCCCAGAGTTGCCTTGGAGCTCGAAGGACCTATTCAGGCCACGTACGGTAAAACACCAATAGCAGCAGTATTATGGGTTCTCACGAAAAGTTTACACATATTCTAAGTTTAATTCATAGTTAGATCTTGAAAAATTACCACGGTTAGTCCCAATGGAATTTCGATAGGTACACTAAATTCACCCTGATTCTGGTATGTAACCGTGTTTATAGTAAACTTAGACCGTCATCCGTCAAAACGGGTTTGCTTAAACTATGGGTTTGAACACATTTTTAAACAGATGCATGATCAAGGAAAGGAGTTCGTTCTTTCGAACAAATCCTTCCTTAATACGTTCAAAAAACATGGTCAGAACATAACACAAATTCTCCTGTGATTGATTAATACTAGTGGAAGCTCTTTCGAAGAAGTAGCTCCATGACATTTCAAGGTAGAGAAGCATGTTAGTCTCCTGAAACTGATAAATGGTTTAAATTCACACAGCACGACTAAGAACGAGCCGGTGGAGAGACGCTTCACCAAACTGTCGTTTAAAATATTCCGCAGGAGTTGGTCTTTATCACATAATAGGTCCCTGAAACGACCTATCATGAAGTCACTTAGTGAAGACCCTTTAAATTCTTTTTGCGGATCTTCTACAACAGCTTCTGGACATTTCCAGCCGCACTGCTCTCCATAGTCTCTTGAACTTCCAGTTCTGTCAAGTCTGTATATACAAACAGGCTACGTTTGAACTGTCGTCTAATTAGTTGTCCAGCTAAATTGTACTTTGATTCCGGCGGGACAGAGTGTCTCGCATCATAGGGGAATACTGACCGTTGTGAGGTCCAGTGTCGTCCGCTTACTCTCTCCAAAATACCGTAAGCAAACTTCTCAGCGTCATGTATTAGTGACTGTCGTTCGAGATCGTTAGAAAGTGGCATGCAAATTAGCAACTCATCCATTGATATAAAGAACCTTCGGAACTACTTGCTCTTCGGAGACGTTTTGTTGGTACACATCATCTCAAGTTCATAACCATTGTACGTTCTCATGGGAATTCTGGATAGTTCAGCAGCGAACCCGCCGGTAAGCAGCATTCAGTAAAGGCCAACCAGTCGAAATGCGGTAAACCGCCACAGGGTCAGACGTAACGTAGATACATCCTAAATTGAGAACTTTACTTGACCGGAGAGCCCACACACACACATACGAAGCAAGGTATGGTTATTCTACACACTGTCTACGTTCACATTCAGCTAGGGCCATCGGGAAAAATATCGCAAATTTAATCCAACTTCCCAGTCTGTGAAGTCACCAGTAACCAGTGTTTGTTTCCTTGTTGTCAGTTACAGCCTATTTAACTAATTCTTGGGTTACCGAAAAATTCACACTGACAAAGAATGTTCTACAATTTTAATTCATTCCCCCAGCTTAAAATAGACAACAAAATATGCCATATTTTCATTGGTTATTGCTCGCTTTCAAGAAATCTACTTCTAGTTAACCTGAGGTCGTGAACTTTGTTCTACTCGAGGTTACTGATTTCTGAGCCGAAAAGTTTTCATATTCATCGTGGATTTTCAAACTGAACCACTTGGTTTGGGCTAGCTTCAAACATCCACTGTCATAACCTTTTTGACATAGCTTGTCAAAATATGACTTATTTAATAATATGGAGACTTCATATATACATTGATGCAGTTATAGTAATATTCATCTTCATTCATTCCATTTTGGTAACTCAGCTTCTTCAACGACCTTGAACGCATTGGTGCCAAAGATTACATTCCCACGGAGCAGGATGTGCTACGCACACGTGTGCGGACGACCGGAATAGTGGAGGCACATTTTACGTACAGAACACTTAATTTTCGGTGAGTATTTGGTTTCTTTCCGGGAGACTAACAGTCACATTGTTCATTTGATCAGTGTGATTTTTGTCTGAATCGTATTGATTTCTGGTCATCATTACGACTGTCCAGTTTTGGTGTTGGCAGGTGTTCTCGGTGGATTACACTAAGACAGGAATATCTATGGTACAAATGTGTGCTCACAGAAGAATAGGACTGTACGCTTAGATATGAAGTACTCGGAATACTTACTATCAGTAGTGGCAAAAAATGATGGACTTAAGTGAGCCATTAACGATCTATGACAATGAGGGAAAAGACACTAGGCAACAACGTTTCTATTCGATAAATGTGGACGGAAAAACCAAATGGGTCAATCCAGAGACTTGCAGGAGTTTAAAAACAACCGGTGCTGGGTAAGATTAAACTGCAGAAAAAGTGGATTGGTTTACTTATGTTTGTTTTCTTTAGGGATGAGCAGGATAAACCGTCTGTACGAATGTGTTGATTTACAGACCTGGCTGGAAGGAATTCTGTAGACATCCTTTTCGCATCTGTTGAGCTCATCAGCGAGAGCCTTGGAAGAAGACTGACCTTATCAGCTTTACTTTGTTGGATTGTTGGTCTAACGACCCATCACACGGTGCAACTGGTCATTCATGTACTTCTGTCTGTGCTGAGCCTTGACCAAATTAAGGCTAAAACACTGTGCATCCTCGGGTAAGTTTTTACCTTGGTGTTAAAGTGATATCACTCGAAAATAACCGACCTACATGTTGTTCCGTCTAACATGCAGCCGGATTCGGAACGCCAGTCCGAAAGCTGATCTCACCTATTGTAATAAGACTTTTGCTCCCAGTCTGCATACGGTTTAAAACACAAATTATACTCCACAAAGTATTCCTATTCCTACGTTCACAAATCTTATCTGTTCTGATCACAAGTTGTTGCTCCTGAGCGAATTGGTGAAAAAAACCTGCTAAAGCTCGCCGTTTGTTTTTCTGAACTTTTTGCACAGGCTAGTGGATGTAGGTGGTCAGCGTTCGGAGCGAAGAAAGTGGATTCATTGCTTTGAAGACGTAGATGCAATACTCTTTGTCGCAGCATTAAATGAATACGATATGGGACTAGCAGAAGAGCACTCCACTGTAAGTCATGCGGCAAAACTGACAAATGATTACTCACTATTTGATTGAAAATACTAGATAGAGTAAGCCACTGGTGTCGCTTAAGAATTTCCCTCAGCAGTCATTTTATGGGTCGTTCTCAAATCCTTTTGCGAATGACCCAGTGTCCAGTGCCAAGGCGGAGCGAACAACGTCAGACAGGATAATTTGGTGGCTCTTACTTACCTGAGGTTTGACTGTGATAAACAATTGGTGACGGGGAGTGTTGATAAGTGGCAAAAAAAACTACTCCGAATTGCACATAACGATGCTGTGTAGAAGTGAGATGATCGTGACCGTACAAACCATCGCAAAGATTCATTTCTATTGACACAGGTAATGGTCTTAAAATGCGACATTTTCCACAAATGATTAGGTTGTACAAATAACCAGCGGAATTTAGAAACATATCCATGGTTTTGTGTGGGCTGAGATGACGTCAAGGTGCTCAAATCTAGATGGAAGAAACGGTTAGGGGCATCAGCTAGATCTTTGGCATATAATCCTTACTGCAAGACAACGGCGATCAGTGGGCGATTGTTGGAGTAACTGAAGTTTCCCGGGAAAAAGTCGACACAGGTTTTCTAACCCCCAGCTTTAGGGGAAGGCGTCTGAGTTATTCGGACCCCTATCCAGTGGCAAGCCTGAAAGGAGAGATTTTGTGAAAGTTGAATATGTATCCTCCAGTGAGGCTAAAAACCTGAAATTCGAGTGCCAGTTGATCGAAGGTTAGGAAGGTGGGTTTTCAGCTAAATGAAACACATGATAAATCGATTTTAAATAATTCTCAGCTAGGCGCGTCGTCAATAATGAGTCAAAAATAAGTTAATCATGACTAGTTCGACTCGAGTCTTATAGTTTCAGCCGATTTGGTGTTGTTTGTAATAACTTCCTGAAAACAGCATTTCTTACAGCTTCCACCCAAGGGAACGCAATTATCGGTGGTGTTTACACAAGGACATCAAGTATCCTGATATATTTTCCTGCACTAAGATAGGGATCCCTGACTAATACAGTCAGCCTAAAATGAGTTCAGAAGAATTGACGGTATGGCTAAGTTCCGTTGTAAGATGGTTCTTCCACCGCGGGCACGACAAGTAGGAAATCGTCTTGCGTCGTCCATTCTAAATGCTCACGGTATGATCGTGAATGTTCTTAGGATAATACTGTCAGCCATTGTGATGAGTTGTCTTTTTATCAGGCGGTTGCAATTTGCTTGCCAATCTCAGTGTTCCAGAGGATATGGTCAGTGGGCATACTGACGACCAGGAAACATTTTGTTGCCAGTAACCCCATGACTGTCAGCTGACTGCCACACATAGTTCTTCGGGGTTGTCCTAATGTACCTTCGATATAGTTGCACAGCTTAAGTGCTCAGGTCATTTACACAAACCATCCAGAATTTTAGATGACCTCGTGCGCTCCTCGTACATCCTTCCGTGAAACCTGATTAGGCGGCGGTTTTGGAAAACTGCTGAATGCACGACCAAGACTTGAAAAGTTCCCAGTTTCCTATCCGATAAAACAGATTTTCATTCATTTGGTAGATCCAAAGTTTCGTTGATTCCGATAGTCGATAGATGAAAACAGATATATAAAATGAATGCTTTGGGGGCAGAAAACATGAATCTACTAAAAACACAAAGATTCCTAGTTATTCTTTCGAGTAAAACGTTCAGGTCACAACTGTTCAGTTCAACTGATTTGATCATTGCGAACTTGAGAGGATGTGTCAAATGAGTTGAACGTTACCCGCGTAATAGTAAGATAAATCACAAAGTCGGTACACAAATGCATCTTTTTGGTTAGTGTCCACACAGACAGCTTGATAATCTCAAGGTAAGACAATCAACTGAACAGCTTTAAGCAATAACTACGGGTAATACGAACAACTAGCATACAGGTGGACATAAATCACTACTCACAAGGCTGATGAAAATTATTTAGCAGCATACTTCTGGTTACATCCCTCTTGCACGTGACCTTGAGTGTTCGTCAACTTTCGTTGTAGGGAAAAAGCCAAGTAAGGTAATTCAGTGAAACTTTAGGATTTACCACTCTTGTGAATGTTGTAAACACCTTTACACAAAAATCAGCAAGCTGCTGACAATATTGGATCTACAAGTTGCCTACCATTAAATGCAATTGAAAACAATGGTTGATCAGAGCAGTTCTCGTCAAGATTGCAAAAGGAAAACATTTGAATGCATGTGTGATATATGTCCTCTCTCAAGAAGTTGTTGATTCCTGATCGAAGTACAAAATATCAGCGATTTTCATCTATTCACTGTGCAAGGGCCGGATAGGACTGAGGCAGAGATCCCCATTAAAATTCCTTTATAACGTTCTGTAACAAACTGTAATTCGCTCTTTCTTTCACCGCATTACTGCTTGCAGAGTGTCACGTGCGTCGTGCATCATAATTACCACAGACTTGGTTTCAGCGGATTCGTTTTTAACCGGCTAATCACATCCGGTAGTCATTAAAACTGTCATGGTTACAGTTTGGCAATGGCAGTCCAGCATAATCTCTCACTGCTTCGATATAATGGAACGAAATATGTGGCTGAATGGTTTGAACAAATAAGTCAATATAACATTTTAACCAGTGGTGCTTGATGAATGCATCAAAAAGTAACCAAACAGCCGACTCTGCTTGGGCTTTCTGGAGAATTATTCCACCCTTTTTCGACAACAGAAACAATCCAGTGGTTTCTGATTCAGTCGCGGCTGTTCTAATTACATATGCAGTTCATGCATCTTCGGCCACACGCAGAAGCAAAGTGAAGCTGCCTCATTCATGTTCTCCAGTGCTTTAGTTGGCGTTCATGGTGGACAACTGATGATACTATATGGCATCTATAGCTTTATAGAAATTCTAATTTGTTGCGGATTGGTAACTTGGATGGGTTGCGAATTCAAACAACACGGGTGTGCTCGTAGTCCTGGTGGCTGTGGTTGAAGTTGAAGTGGTAAGCAAAAGCTGGCAAAAAAGTCAGTTGTACCTCTTGGAGTAAACAAACTGAGGCTGGCTAAATGCTATCTAGGAGAGGAAGGAGATTTTTCACCTTAAAAAATTAACAGTGACGGAAACGACAGATTCTGAGGAGTAATCGTACCAGTGATGCGGATGCAGCAGAACGTTTTACGCCATAAGACACCATCAGAAAAAAAGGAAATGAAAGCGCAACTCGTGGGCTGGAACACTGGGCTTACCATCACAGAAGTAAACGTTCTGAAATCTTGGCCCCGTTGCAAAATCTATCAAAAGAACGGTTAGCATGCTCAGTCACTGGTTTGTCTTGCTGTATCACCCATCCTAGCAAAAGCTTACCAGTTGTTTTCCAGTATTGATCGCAGCGTACTGACTTCAACATTGTCACGTAACTTTTTTTACATCCTAATTGCAACGACACCACATAACCGCTCATCCGATCAACATAACTCTCGCTAAACGCCCACCGGGAATATGGCTTTCGTCTCACAACTGCATAAGAGAGCGCTCCTGACAAACTATCACCAAGAATGGTCTACTAGGAATCAGTTTATAATAAATGTGAAGACTGCGGTCCGCTGTTCAGTCCCTCGTGCTGGTGCCTATTCACTAAAATTGCCCACTGCTGGGCAACAAACGTGTTAAGGTTACTGGTGTTTTACAGACCTACCTCGTAATTCGTTGATGTAGTGTGTGGGTTAACGAATGATAGTTTGAAACTTAAGCTTTCGTGCTGGTGTTTAAAATGCTCGTCATTAGGTTGTCTGCAAATTTCGGGTCCAAAATTTTCTGACGGCATAAGAATTGGATGGTTGGATTTCTCAAACTTCTTCAGTGGCTGTGCAATCAAGTGTCCCTAATAGGCATGTGATTGTAATGGACTGTTCTTTGAGCGATACACTAAACAGCTGATGCCTCGAATGGGATCAAGTGACACACTGAGATTTCGAACTGATACCTTGGTTGAAATGACAAATTGCAACACTTCTCAGATGCAGTTATCCACAGAGTAGAAGTTTTCAGGTGCCTTAGTTAACGTTTGATGATGTCGACCTATAATACCGGTTTGATAAGCCTGTCCGAATCTGGTCACCCTAGCAGTCCACAGATCGAAAATAAAGTTTAACTTTATAAAAAAAGGTTGTTTCGTGTGTGCTAGCTAAAAGATGTACTACTAGCTTGCAAATGGTTGGCTGTATGACGTGTTGAGCAAAGGTCGACGATCTAAGTCCAGAGTGTACTGAACCGTTCTTATCTGTTCATTGATTAGAGGAAGCCAGTTGGCTTGCACATGCATCCCGAGAACACGGTTAACCAAATGTCACATAACAAAGAACAGTAGTAAACAACCGTAGCGATCAAGTTTAGAGTTAACAGAAAATTTGGTTTGTTCATTGTCTAGCACTGCAGGTTATGCGCAAGGCAAGACAATGCCCGTAAAATACAGTTTTTGTCTATTGGTTTACTTCAATGACTGATGCAACTGTAATAAAATTTAATAAACGCCTCATCAAAACAACCAGATATCAACCCATCAAAAAAGCTGAAATAAGCCTGAAGAACGGATGAATTCCCGCGCGCATTTTGCTTGGACACCACTGAAAAACTTGGTGCACTGGGGTCGTTACGTGCCAAACTATATCCCTGTAAATTGCTGGGCAGAGGCACGGGCATTAGTTCAGTGAAACTAGACCACTTATCTACCATGAAATAGAGTTCACATTCACCGTGGTAGAGCAAAGGGACGAATTTTATTCCTGTTTCCTCTCAACATATAACATATCTAACCATGTCTCTTGTTCAGTGAGATATTCCAACTCTTAAGTTAACTTCCCTGCTCCATGAAGAGTAGTAGCTGTCACGTGACCACGTGAATCACGTATGCCCTGCATTCAGCCATCAGCTGTTCTGCACACGATCTTCACACCACTTGACAGCACCGATCAGACTTAGTGTGACAAAGTTTAAGCAATAGCATTAATTATGA